GTTTAATACCGGTATTATACCGGTATTACCGGTATTGTAATTATTTAGTACCGATATACCGGTATTGAAAAATGGTATCGGTATTGGAAGCACTAATATATATACATATATATATATATATATATATATATATATATATATATATATATATATATATATATATATATATATATATATATATATATATATATATATATATATATATATATATATATATATATATATATATATATATATATTAGGGCTGTACCGGATTTAATTTTTCCAAATCCGGCCGGAGCCGAATTTGCCGGATTTTTACTAACAGATCCGGCCGGAATCAGAGCCGAAGCCGGATTTCGAAGCAAAACTACAGTAGCCAAAATCGTTTTATCTCAAAACTAAAAAATGTGGAGATAGAATAAGATAATTCTAACGTCGCGATATATTGCCATTGTAATGATGATAATGTATAAGAATTATCCAGCCGGGCTTGTTTTGCTGGATTTTCTTTAGTTTTGTCAATCTGCTGCTCAGTATGCTCAGATTGACTTCAATCTTGTTTTTTCACCTGTCAGTGTTGCCTGTAAAACATTAATAAATATACTGAGTATAGCATTGCATATCGAGGACCAAATATATGGAATAGTTATCAAAAAGGATTTAAATGTATGGTAAAGTCATTAAGTTTATTTATTTTTTTTATATTTTATCTCTATTTGGTTTACTGATCAGCGCAGCAGTTTTATGCCGATTAGGGTTTTTAATTTAATACCTACATTCTATGGAAAGTGTATATAGGGGCTCTATGAAAAGATTGCGATGACGTATTGTCATCTTCATCTTCCTTGAGCCCCTGTCTGTTTAACTCTTTATTTTATAAAGATCATTGTAAAAAGAAAAGTGTTTTATTTTATACTGTATATACAAAAACGGTGCTTGTTGACAAGATTTTACTGTCTTCTTTGTTCTACGGACATAATTTTTTTCTTTCTTGTATATATTTTTGTTTGATTATTTATTGTTAAACAGCAAAATAAATGTACTTCTTTCATGTTTTTCTTTGTGGCAACTTTCTTTCAGTTTCTACATTTTGTTCAGCACAATTTTTATAAATAAAAGATTTGCCTGCTAAATGTAGAACTTCAACAGTTGCACCACTTCTCATAACGATAAACTCTTTTTTTGTAATATTGATTAACTGTTTTGACTAAACTAAGCAAACATAGGTAGTAAAAAGTGTGACAGGTTATACTGGGTTATATTCTACCAGTGTCGAATTGATCTTACAACTAATAACCGTCCGGTCTTACAGGAATCTTAAAAGTCCTATTTCAAAATCAAAGGGGAGGGATTCGAAATTTTGTATTTTTTGTTTAATCAGTTATACTTAATTAATTTTTTTAGAAAAATTAAAAAAAATTCAGTTTTTGCTTTTTTTTGTGATTGGACTTTTAGGTGTTTTTGTGATTGGACTTTTAGATCATTTTAGGTGCCCCGAGCAGTCCCTTCGGTCTTATACAGAGCAGCACGGAAAGGAAGTTCACGCCTCCTTCTCTACCAATGTTATTTAACTTGCCCAGAGGTGGCGTTGAACTACGGATCTCTAGTTTCTAAAGTAACTTTGCTTAGTTGCAGCTACATTCATTTTTAACATTTAAGTTATTGAAAAATTAAAAAAAAAAAGAAATTATTGCAGGAGGTTCTTTACCTGTGAAGTTACGCAACTTTATGTTAAAATTTATGCAATTCGAATTTAAGATATTTATAATCTTGCAGGACTATTTAATGCATGTATAAATGTATGCTTCCATGTATGAATTTATATATGTATGTATTATACATTCATAAATATAGACATTGTATATATGTACGTATGTATGTATGCATGCATGCATGTATGTATGTATGTATGTATGTATGTATGTATGTATGTATGTATGTATGTATGTATGTATGTATGTATGTATGTATGTATGTATGTATGTATGTATGTATGTATGTATGTATGTATGTATGTATGTATGTATGTATGTATGTATGTATCTATGTATGTATGTATGTATGTATGCATGTATGTATGTATGTATGTATGTATGTATGTATGTATGTATGTATGTATGTATGTATGTATGTATGTATGTATGTATGTATGTATGTATGTATGTATGTGTGTATGTATGTATGTATGTATGTAATAAATAACAAAAACAATAACGGTTTTTTTCAAAGATAAGTTTATTATATTTTATTTTCCCATATAAATATTTACATATTATTAATTTTTTTAGATAAAATATACATTTACATATATTATATGTAAAATTAACCAATAAAACACAAATCCTATATTGTTTTAACATCGAATTTAATGCTAATTATCTTCGAAATTAATGCAGCTGCTTCTGCTGCTGCTGCCGTTACTCATTCAAGCGTGTTTGTACAGAACTCATGGCAGCCATTACACCCGAGTTAATGGCGAGCAATGATATATATTTTGTATTTATATATCATTGGTGGTGAGAAAGAGTCACAGCACTTTTTATGTAAGAAAATGTGAATGAAAGTATATGCAAATGTCTAACTGTAGTAAACTTCAAATTATGTCATGTTGAAACATATATCAAGTTTTGCAGTTTTACTTTCATTTTAAAATAGCGTTGCGGCAACGTCTCGTTAATTTTGATTTATAGCATTTATTTGCCGTTTTATGAAGTCTTTTTTTTAGTAAAAGTCTTTAATTTAGCCGGATAAACTAACCTGACCTTTCTCAGGTCAGGTTATCATGCTGGTAACATGAAACCCAGAAAAACCTGCTTAATATCCTGCTGCCTTGTAGGATATGCTTTTTTAGGCAAAGGCTAATAGAGCCCAACCCCAACTTCAAACACCTCCTGTCTTGAGTCTCTTAGTTGAGTAAAGGCTAAAGATGGTGTCTCGATAAAAATACTCATCTAAGACAGACGTTAAATCCGTCTGGCTTCTGTCTTGTAAAAGGCCTCATAGGCAAAGTTTTAAGGGGTAAACAGATTATATCTATTGACCAACCTTGCACCGCTTCTTCATCTATTAGGCTAGCGTAGATAAATTTATAATACGTTTCTTTTAGTTTACGATGTTGAATGCTGGATCTTTTAAACTCAATGCATGGGTTTTGCTTGAGTCTCTTTTTTATGAATAGCTCATTAACTCATTCTATTATCTCCTAATGAAGGTACAGCTCTAAAACTCAGTTTTACGGTTCTAAGGCCGGCTGGTAGTCAGGTTTCCTAAACTCTGTGCTAGCTCTCAGAGGGGCTGATTTCATCAATATCTGTAAAATATCAAAGTACTAAGAGTGCCAAGTTGCTCATGAATGATGTTCCTGTTCATACTTTTAGTGTGCATCGTCGAGGCCACATTTGGACCCCTTTGTTATTGCTTAAGATTTATTAACAGTAATGAGGCAATTGCTTGCACTATTAAATAGTGTACTGAGTTCTATTTGTGTTTTTAGTCAAGTTAATCAATCATTCACTAACATTCATGGTCTTTGAAGTAACTGTTCACTTGTTGAGTCTTATCTCTTGCAAAGTTTACCAAACCTACTTACTCTTTGTGAGATTAATTTGAGTTCAGCTGTCAAATCTTGTGATCTTAGTGTTGATGATTATCTTCCTTTAATTTGTAAAGATTCTAATAGTCACAGACTTGGCCTGGCATTTACATTCGTAAGAAATCACCTATTTGTGGGGAAACTAGGTTTGAATCCACCGACTATTCTTTTATATGCTTTTTTTTAATACCGCTTCAATCTATCGCCTTTCTATATCGCTCTCCTTCAGCTCAAGACTGCACTATTTTTGATGTTACTTCTGATCAAATTGACTAGGCACTTTCTCTTTTTATTTCAGCCAATTTTGTTTTTGTTGGTGACTTTAATGCTGAATACATTGAATGGGTTGGCTCTAGTGCCAATGATTCTGCAGGCGTTAAGGTCTACAACTTTTGTCTTTTTTAATATTTAACACAAATAGTCAACTTTCCAACTAGCTCTCCACACAATCTGAATAATTTACCTTTTCTACTCAACTTATGTCTGGTTTCTGATCCTAGTCAGTGCTCAGTTTCTAAACATTTGTTAAGAAACTGAGCACTGACTATATGCATATTGTTAAGTAATTTTTATCTAATATTAGTTAATTCCTATGGAAGTCCTATAGATCTTTAAAAAACTTATAATTCTTATAGGAGTACAGTATTAATTTTATAGCAATAACTTACTTCTACTGCATATCTTATATAACCTATAGTATTATATGCAACTTTAGTATAACAATTCTATTAGCCCTACATTAATCCTATAGAACCTATAAGATGTCTTTAAGAATGCTATAGGATTCCTTTAGGTATTTTAATGGTCCTATGAGAACCTTATAGAACCTATAAAATGTGTAAAGGAATCCTCTAGGAATCCAATTAACCAATATAATACTACAAGACTTTTTGATGAATGGTTTAGGAATGAATCTACCTAATAATTATTGCATTGTTATAACCTATATAAACTGCAAAAATTCTATAAAATTTAGATTTATAGGACTTCTATATAATAAAAACTTCTATATAAATAAACCAATAGGTTTTTCCTACATGTGGTATATAGGATTACAAAAATACAAAAATATATTCTTAAAAGATTTTGGAGCAGGACTTTTTAGGAATTCTATAGATCTAAAACTATAGAATGATTTATATTCGATATCTTATAGGATATGACTCCTACAAGATTTTGGAACAGAACTTTGTTTAATTTCTAAATCTATAGGAATTCTTACAAGATGAATTCAATAGGATTATCTCATACAAAATTCTGTTCTAATTTCATATAGAAATGTATATAATTTCTATAGGATATCCTATAGGACCTTTTGACTATGGAGCTGCATATTAAACATTGTTTCGCCAGTTAAAACAAAATCCAGTGCAGTTGCGCCGTCAAACAAAATGTCCTAATATTTGACCAAAACAAAAACAAAATATTTTGCGATTAAATCTTATTAATACAATTATACAGTTTATCAAGTGTATTTCAATTGAACGATATAATAAATGCCATAAAATATATCTATCTATAAATAAAAATTAAATATAAAAAAGCGTTGTTTTATTAATATATTATAAATACATAATGCAATAAATGTAAAAATACAATAGCAGTTATTTAAAAATTTAAAAAATACAAAAGGATTTTAAAGGTTTTACTAAAATTATTAAGCACAAACTTTTTATACGTTTTAAAAAACACTTTACAAAGTATATAACTTATACATTAGCATTGCGTTCTTCCAGAGTTTGCCCCAATTGACTAGGCCCACATTTTAAATTCCAAGGAACAGCTACATCTAAAAAGAAAAACGATAAATTTTAAACCTTTTGTTATTTCTGATTATTTAAACTGCACAAGAAAGAGTTAACTATAAGTGGAAATTAAAACCAACAAAAAGTAGATATGAATCAACTAGCTTATATAAGAGGCTCGATTTTCAGCAGAAACAAAGAACATCAGCCCGTGGACTATCACAAAAAATAAAGTGAAATCGAGCACAAGATTGAAAACACAATTCAAGACGTTTAATCAATATGTCTAAAAAATGTAACACAATTTAGGTAAGAAACCAATTCAACGCTAAAAATTTGAGCATTAGCGCCAGCAACGTCAAACCATGAGTTCTAATATGGCATAGCCTTTATGCTAAAATAAACTTTTTAAAGTTTTTCAAAATTACTGTATATATATATATATATATATATATATATATATATATATATATATATATATATATATATATATATAATATATATATATATATATATATATATATACACAACTAATTTAAAACAACCACACTACATATCAAATTTATAAATTTAAGTATTTCAAATCTTATGATAAACATTAATAATAAATAATATAGTAATTAAAACTAAACAATAGTATCAGATGCAGACCAACTGGTAATGGTGTACATATAATAATGTAATTTGTAATCATGTAATCTGTAATCATGTCATTTGTAATGTAACATGCTATTATGTAAGTTATAATAATCTTATTTGCCTTATAATTATAATGATGTATCATGTGATAACAATTATGTGATTTTAATATATATAAGTATACTAATATGTAATTTATAGTGTAATATGTAATAATTTAATTTGTAATTACATTACTTTACAGGACTTAGTGATTAAACAACTATAATCTTCTTTTTGCACTGGTCATGTAAATTTTTTATGTTAACTATTCATAAATGACAATATATATATATATATATATATATATATATATATATATATATATATATATATATATATATATATATATATATATATATATATATATATATATATATATATAATAATAATAATAATAATAATAGAGTTTGATTATTTGAAAAAATATAACTTTTTGATGGTACTTGAAGTTTCATACCTTTCGGCAATCATCAGCCATATTTTATTCTTTTAAAACAAGAAAAACCGTTAAAAAATACAAAATACAAAAATTAACAGAAAAAACAATAACAAAGCAATAGAATGAGTTTTTTGTTGAATGAGTCATTTCACTTTTTTTGTTAATTAAATTTTTATTTTTGGAAAACAGAATTTGATATTTTTTTCCATATTGTTTTCCAAAAATAAAAATCTAATTAACAAAAAAAGTGAAATGATATCCAAGTGCAGGCATCGAAACAAGTTTCTTCTCGCCCACTTTGACACGGCCGATTAAACAATTTTCTAATTAAAAATTTTGTTTTGACGTCAGAACTCATTCTATTGCTTTGTTATTGTTTTTTCTGTTAATTTTTGTATTTTGTATTTTTTAACGGTTTTTCTTGTTTTAAAAGAATAAAATATGGCTGATGATTGCCGAAGGGCATGAAACTTCAAGTACCATCAAAAAGTTGTATTTTTTCAAACAATCAAACTCTATTATTATTATTATTGATCTATTTTGTAAACACTTACATTATATTGATCACTCTCAAACGAACAAGAGACTTTTGTATCTTAATTTGGTACAATAAAACAACAATATATATATATATATATATATATATATATATATATATATATATATATATATTGTCATTTATGAATAGTTAACATAAAAAATTTACATGACCAGTGCAGAAAGAAGATTATAGTTTTTTAATATATATATATATATATATATATATATATATATATATATATATATATATATATATATATATATATATATATATATATATATATATATATATATATATATATATATATACATACAATATATATATATATATATATATATATATATATACATACAATATATATATATATATATATATATATATATATATATATATATATATATATATATATATATATATATATATATATATATATATATATATATATATATATATATATATAACTTCAAGCAAGACAACTTCAGCAAAAAATAATTCTCACCAATTTGTTTGGGATATGCAAGACCCAAATTTTTCATGATTTCAATAAACTCTTCTTTACTTTTGGTTAATCTGGGATTATACATTTTTTCCTCAGCAACACTAGTGACCATATTTCCTAAATGTACAAAAAAGATTTAAATTATGACGACAAAAATGGGAGACTCACAAGGTGCCATATTATATATATACTTTAAAAATCAGAGATTAGGGTGCCACATATACTTACTTTTTTTAAACCAGAAATTAGGGTTTAATGATTTATGGCCTGGTGTGCACATAAATAGACATTTTTAAAATTATGATTGAACTCAACCATGAAAACTTTTTAAGCTAAAATTGACTTAGTTCTAATAGAAATCATACTTCATAAAATATGAGGTTAGAGCATGTCGGGAAATTTTCCTGTTTAAAATACAGCATCAAATTAAGGACTGACTAAAAAGTAAAGTTTTGGGTGAAGTGCCAAAAATAGTTTTCCAAAATTTTGTGTAGCAAAAAAATACAGATGCAATAATGACTGAATTAAAATTTATATGTATATATGTATACATATATATATATATATATATATATATATATATATATATATATATATATATATATATATATATATATATATATATATATATATATATATATATATATATATATATATATATAATCAGTATCTAAATATAAAAGAATAGACTAAAAATAATTACACAAAAAAAGGCTTTATAAAAAAAAAAACTTGTTAAATAAAATAATTGACAAGCAAAATTTTTTTTTATATTAATATTTCTATATTGTTTGTATATATATATATATATATATATATATATATATATATATATATATATATATATATATATATATATATATATATATATATATATATATATACATATATATATATATATATATATATATATATATATATATATATATATATATATATATATATATATATATATATATATATATATATATATATACAAACAATATAGAAATATTAATATAAAAAAAAATTTTGCTTGTCAATTATTTTATTTAACAAGTTTTTTTTTTTATAAAGCCTTTTTTTGTGTAATTATTTTTAGTCTATTCTTTTATCTTTAAATTCTTCAGATGATTCAAAAGAGTAATCAAAAACTTTTCATTTTTTTTAAATGATTTTTAGCAAACTAAAAATCTTGCATATATCAATTATCAGGGTGGGGTCAAATACATACTTGTGTTTGTATTAGTAAACATTAGGCTATATTGCTGTATTTGTATTTGATTAAAATGTATTTGTTGTTCCATAAACTAGATTGAAAAAAAAAATCATCACTATTTAATATTGTTTTTTTGGGAAAAACAATATTAAAATGAGATAAATTTTTTTTTGTATTGTGTTGTAACAAATAATCTTTTTTATTATTAACACTAAAATAATTCAAAACTGTTTGTAAGTGAAATTTGTAAAAAGACTTGTTTTCATTCTTTTATTTACCATGTCAGTAGTCTTACAAGTTTTTTTAATTGTTCATCAAATAGTTTCAGTATTTTTTTGTCAATTACTTCATAGTAGGTTAAATAAATTAAAAATACAATAAGAAAAACTATTTGAAGAAATAATTTTCTTGTAAAATACAATTAAAGATTTAAGTAATAAAAAAAGTTAATAAGTTAATCTTTAGTTATTAACTTAAATGTATTTGAATTTGCATTTTTATAAAATCAAACATATTTGATTCCAACACTATCAATCATAATCAAAAAATAAAATTAAAAAACAAAAAGATTCTTTACCTTTGTAGTCATGAGCAGGGAACAAAAGAAAGTCATCAGGTAAACTTAAAATCTTAGAATGAACCATGTCATATAATAAACCTGGATTACCTAAATGTAAGAGCAAAAAAATTTTCAATGTATTATAACAATAAACTATTATAGGTATTTTGATGCTGCTGCTGATTATGATGATACAAAATTGATGCCAAAACATAGGTCAATTCATTCAGCACAAATAATTGTTTTGTTTGTAAATTTATAAAGAGTTTGCTTATGTATAATATCCATTTTTATGAAACAAATATCTCTTTAATAATGGAACTACTAAGGCAATAGCAATAGCAAAGGGTTACCCTTAGTAAAATATTTTTACAAATTTTATAAAATTCTATAATAAATATTTCATGTTCCATTTACTGCTTCAATACTTTTTGTACAGGTTTTTTATAAGAAAGTAGAGTGGCTAATTTTTGTATAGTTGTTTATATTTATTTATAAAGTTATAATTATATATAAAGTCTTAATTTGAGAATCCAAATAATAAATTTGATTTATCAAATTAAAATATTTAGATACTGATTTTTGACCAACTAACAAAATATAACAGAATATATATATATATATATATATATATATATATATATATATATATATATATATATATATATATATATATATATATATATATATATATATATATATATATATATATATATATATATATATATATATATATATATATATAGGCCTCATCAGGAGTAAATGAGTGTAGAAAAAAAAAGTAAATGAGTGCAAGAGTGCAGAAAAACTTGCCTTGAACATGGCAAGCCATGCTAGTTGCTCTTCAAAACAACTTTTTAAGAGAGCTTTTAGTTTTTGAAAGAGCTATCTGTTTATTCTTTAAAAAATTTCATTTTTTGCTCATTACAAGCATATTTTTGTAATGTTAATGCCTCAATTTATACATAATATATATACATATAATGTATATATATATATATATATATATATATATATATACATTATATGTATATAACTCCTGAAGAACGCCCCAAAAGAGCAGATCTTATCGAACAATTCAAAATCACTCGTAAACTCGAGCTTGTCAGTTTTGCCGTCCCGCAAAAATTTTAAAAAAGTAATGATAAGTTTATTCTAAGAGGCCATAACCATAAACTAGAACATCAGATGGTAAAAAACTGTGATGAGCAATATAACTTTTTTTCAAATAGAATTTGAAAAAAAGTTATGTCGCCCCATGGGTTTCACAAGAAGCAGTGAACGTTCAATCCATCAACGCTTTTAAAAACAACATAAGAAAGTAACTTTATAGATAAAACTGCTGCTTTGTCTGTAGCGTCTGTATCTCCATATTCACCAGCATAGAGGGGCCTGGTGTAGCACCTCCTCATCAAATTATAAATGGATTATTGTATTTGTATTTGATAACTGAAATAAATAATAATAAATATATATATATATATATATATATATATATATATATATATATATATATATATATATATATATATATATATATATATATAAATTGTTGGCTTTGAGAGGACGGAAAGTAAAAAATGATTCTTTTAAAAACAAAATACATCACTTTTAATTACTTTTGAATTTCATTTAACATTATTGTGTTATCATAAAGTTGAAACCATTAATTTAATCACTTTTTTAAAAAACCGCAAAAGCACAAATTTAATTGACCAGAATGTTTTTAAAATCATTCTGAACGTTTTTAAAAACATTTCAAATTTTTTTTAAAAATATAAACAATGTTTTTATTTTTATTTTTTAAATAAAATGTTTTTATTTTTTATTTTATTTTTTTACTGTAAATCATGCAAGAATATTGCTACATCGACTATCTTATAGCCTGACTCGGAACGGGGTGCTGCTACATCGACTGACAAATAGCCTGACTTGCTACATTGACTGAGGGTTTGGATTGGGCAGGCAGTCTATCAAATAACAAAAAGAAAAAAAAAATTTATGGTCTTGCATTTAAATTTTTTTTTAATGTCAACAAAATATGGAAAAACTTTCTGACAACGTTGCAAGAATATATATATATATATATATATATATATATATATATATATATATATATATATATATATATATATATACAACCCTCGGAATTAGGAAAATTGCTGTCAGCAATAATTTGTTGACTTCAATCTTTTAGAGGTCGGCATCAGGTTGGCAAATGCAAAGGTCTTACCATAAAATATCAAAATGAGGTCGGCAAAACCAAATTTTTTTGCCGACTGCAAACACATTTAAGTCGGCAGTTAGGCCGGCATTGCTGAATGCCAACCTTAATTCTGAGGGTTGTATATATATATATATATATATATATATATATATATATATATATATATATATATATATATATATATATATATATATATATATATATATATATATATACATATATATATATTTATATACATTTCCTAAACTTTCTTTAAAATTCTTCCGCGCCATTCTCCTCCTCTTTGATCCTTGATTTTGCATTCTAATAAACATACACGAGATATAGGTCGCTTAACTTCACTGTTTCCCACTTTCACTTTTACAACTCTAGTATAATCATCAGCGCCAGGATAAGTCTCTAAAACTCTTCCTAATGGCCATTTTTCCTGCGGTGTATCTGGTGAAATAACTAAAATGACATTTCCTATCTGAATATTACTTCTTTCAATAAACCATTTTTCCTAGAGTTTAAGGTGGGAAGCCACTCTCGTAACCACCTCCTCCAAAAGTGACGGATAAATTCTTGGATTCTGCACCATTTTTTTATGCTAAAATCCTCAGTATCAACATTTTCCGGTGCAAATACGCCACCTACTCGACCATGTAAGAAATGATTTGGTGTTAAAGGAATATCATTGTCAGGATTGCAAGACTGATATGTTAAAGTTCTTGAGTTAATCATTGATTCTGCACCTATAAATGCTGTCATCAGTTCTCCATCATTAAAATCGCTATTACCCAGAATACTGGATATAGCTTTCTTTGCGGACTTGATCATCGTTTCGTGGAAAAATGTGGTCCGATTGGAGGGATAAAATGCCATTATTCTCTTTAAAATGCCATTATTCTCACTCCTTTATTGGCTGTTGATTGTTTTAATTTTTCTATATTTAAACTAGCTACAAGCTCTTGAAGTTCTCTATTTGCTCCAACAAAGTTAGTACCATTATCCAAAATCATTTCCTTTGGAAGGCCATGCCAATTAACCATTCTATAAAATGGATTTACAAACGAATCTGTATCCAATATCCAAATGCACAGCTCGTGATGTAAGACAAGTAAACAAGCACAAATAACATTTAGTTCTTCTCAAACCTCTTTTTTGCACTGTTATAAATGGACCACCAAAATCAACAGCTGTTCTTGAAAATGCATGCAAAGGCATTTATAATCTGATCTTTGGTAATGATGCCATAATCTGATCTTTGGTAATGATGCCATAATCTGATCTTTGGTAATGATGCCATAATCTGATTCTCGGCTCTAGCTTTTTGCCTTTTGCAATGCTGGCATTGATTTTCCCACTCTAAAAATCAACAAAATTCAATCAGACTCTCTTAACATCCCTACTGTATTGTTGCTGTGGATATTATCACTATCCCCAAAACTAAGGAAAATATTTCGGAAAGCTGGCTATAGAGTAGTCTTCAAATAAAATCCAAATTTAAAAACATTACTAACGTTGAAAAACAAAACTAAATTGCCACAAAATAGTCAACCCGGAACTTATTTGATTGAAAAGCAAATGCTCAGAGATACGTAGGCGAAACTAAACTTCAATACGTTGGTGAAACTTCAAATTAGGACTCAAACTCAACAACATCTAAAAAGTTTAAACAAGGGGAAACATTATTAATCTGCAATAGCCACCCATAACAAGTTTTGCTCACAAGAAATAAAGTGGGAAAACGTAAAAACATTTAAAGTTGAAACAAAAAAATTTGATTGAAAAGTGTGCAAAGCTCTAGAAATACAGAGGTTCCAATGTTCATCTTTACATGGTGGAATTAATTTAGATAATGGGCAGTTTGTGAAAACTAAATTTTGGACTCCATTTTTTACATTTTTACGTAACCAAGAAAGAAGCCATTCAACTGCTGATGTCAGTTAATTTTAAACTGTTTATAACATTACAAAAAAACTTTACGTCAAACTCATTGATATTTTATGTGGTAAATGTGAAATAACATTTTATTCAAAGTATGGTTGTAACCATGAATGTAAAAACAAGTGCATGTTAAATGCATGTGCATGCAAGAAAATAAAATTCCTGTATTAGAACTCAGCTTTATCAAGTCACAGAGAGATAAAGTTGGCAGTTTTGCACATTACCATATTGGTGGTGTTGACATAAAAAAGTCAATAACAAAAAAGAAGTTATAAAAAGCATGATTGCAAATTATAGGATAATTACTCTCTAAATATGAAATAAAAGAAGAGATGATTAATCAAAAAATTCAGTAAGATTACGATTTCTTAGCAAAGGTTAAGCAATTACTTATAGAATATCTTTGTTAGATATGAAGTTGTTAAAATAAATATGTATACTTAAAGAAAAATACTATTTTTTATAAAAACTAGATTTTGCTAATAATTATGAACAATAATATATCAATAAGATTGCATTTAAATCTAGATTGAAAAAAAAGATGAACCAAAAACAGACAAACTTTCAGAACCAGATTATTTGAGAGATTCAGAACCTTCCAAGATTAGTGTAAAGTATATATAAGGATGGGCATCACAAACATTGCGATTGATAGTATGAAACATCACACAGGTTTAAGGGAAACTGAGGAAATAGCAACAACAGCACTAATTGATGCTAGAATTATAAAAAAGAATAATACATTGCTAATTATTGACCACAATAAGGTTAAAAGAGCACAAGAGAAGTGGCGCAAGAAAAATGGCGCAAGAGAAGTTAGCATTGGAATTAAGTAAAAAATTTGATAAAGATCTTGAGAATAACAAGGTTTTCTATATTTTTTTGATGACAGAAAAGATAATATAAAAGTATTAATGGAATATAATGACAAATATTTCCCTTGCCTTATCCA